GACCCCCAGAACGTGCCCCTTTGGGGAAGCTCATGCTTTAGTCGGGTTAATGTTTTTTTTAATCCTCACCCGAGGGTATTTTTCCATTGATTTTTATAAAGAGTGGAAGAGAGAGGGAAAGACAGAGAGAAATAGTGATGACATCGATTGGTTGCCTCCTGCACATGCCCAACCAGGGCCTGGGCCAGGAAGGAGTCTGGAACCCACGTACACGCCCTTGACCAGAATCGAACCCAGACCCTTCAGTCCTCAGGCCGACGCTCTATCCCCTGAGCCACACTGGCCAGGGCCAGTCTGGTTAGTGTTAAGAAGCAGCCCCGAGGGAGAAGCCCAGAACCCCGGCCTGCAAAGGAAACCTCCATCTGTGAGGGGACCAGCCGCCTCCCCACCAAGGGCACGTGTGGGCCCCGCGGAGGCCTGGCCCTGGGTTCGGGCTTCCTGTCACCATGGTCTTGCCTGACGGTGGCCTCGAAGGCAGTGGCTGCAGCTCTGGGGAGAGGAGGCTGGACAGGCACAGGGCGGGGCAGCCGCCCCCACACTGGTTCCTGGCTCCGCAGCCACTTCACTGTGGTGGCGGCTACAGACACACTCCTACCCCCACCCTGCACAGCGTCTCCGTTCTTCCCTCTGGACTAATAATCAAATTAGCAAAAGCAGACGAGCAGGAGAAAATCGTGTTTTAATGCCTCGCATGGGCATTCTATGAACATGGGAAGTCCATACGTGAGGCCATGCATTTAGGACAAAGGAGGGAGGGAGGCAGGAGGGATGGGGAAGCACAGGGAGCTGGGGAAGAGGGGGCTGGGCAGGAAAACCCTGGGGAGGGACAGAGATAATGGGGGCGGGGGCGGGGGTTTGGCTAAGGCCTGGCCTGAAGCCCTCCTGCTCCCACACTCCATCAGCGGGCGGGCGTGGGCAGACACCCCCAGAGCTCCTTCCGGAAGAGGGTTTCTCTCCCTGAATCTCAGGCAGGAAATGGGGGAAGGGTCAAAGGTCCTTACTGTCTGGTCTCCTTTTTAAAAACTCTGTGTTAGTTTCAGGGAGCCCGCACAGCGGGAGGCAGCCATACACTGCTCGCAGGGCTCCCAGATACTCCCAGCCCCACCTGGCTCTGTACGGAGCGATTCCGACGGCGCTGACCGCCCGCAGGCCCGTCCTGTGACTGCCCTCGGCACTTCTCAGTCCCTCCGCCTTCCCCACCCGTCCCCTCACCCCTCTCTGCTGGCAGCCACTGACCTGTTCTCTGTGCCCATGAGTCCCTTTCTGTTTTCATTGCTCTTGATTCCGCGTGTAAATGAAATCATATGATGTTCATCTTTCCCGACCGAAGGACTTCACTCAGCACAACAGCCTCCAGTCCATCGCTGACGTCACAAATGGTCAGATTTCGTTCTCTTTACGGCCGAGGGCACCCCCTCGTGTGAATGTCCCCCTGCCTTGTTAGCCGCGTGTCCATGGTGGGACCGGGGGCTGCGTCCAGAGCTGGGCTGTTGTAAGTGACGCTGTGATGGACAGAGGGTGCCCCGCATATTCTTTCCAATGGTTGTTTGGCTTCTTCAGATACGGACCCAGAAGCGGGGTCACTGGGTCACAAGGCGGTTCCGTCCTCAGTGTGTGAGGACACTCCCTGCTGCTGTCCACAGTGGCCGCACCCCCTCCCCCCCAGTGCTCGAGGCCCCCTCTGCCCCACCTCTGTCCAGCACCGGTTTGGGGATGTACTGATGACGCAGGACGAACAGCTGACACTCAGCACCCCAAAGCCAGCAGCAGGCCGGCCGGACCTTTGTTCCCTTCGCTGCAGCCACGGCCACCGGCCGGGTTCTGGCGGAAACTCGAGGGATTCGGCCCCACTGGGTGAGGTGAGGAGCCTTTACCAGCCCCCCTGCTGCACCCGTAACCGAACGAGCCTCCGCAGCGTGAGGGGCCTTTTCCGAGCTGCGATGCGTAGGGACGAGTGGCCGTGTCCGGGCGGCCGGCGTGAGGGCCGGGCCATGAGGAGCGGGGCGGTCTGAGCCTCCTCTGCTCTGCCATCTGCCTGGCCCCACACTCCCAAGAACACTTCGAAGACGCTGCTGCTGGCCGAGCCTTGTTTTTATTATATATATATATTTCAGAGGGGAACGGAGAGGGGAAGAGAGATAGATCAATGAGAGAGAATCACTGATTGGCTGCCTCCTGCACGCCCCACACTGGGGATTGAACCCACAACCCAGGCCTGTGCCCTGACCAGGAATCAAACCATAACCTCTTGGCTCCTGGGTTGATGCTCAATCAATGTCAGGAGCTCCCCTCCCCCGGGAGGCCCCCCAGCTTCCTGGTTAACGGCAATCCCACGAGTAACTGTCTGTGGGACGAGAGCGAAAAACCGAGGGAAACCATGATGCCCTCTCCCCTCCCCCCACGAGGGCCGTCGCTCTCCCGGCTCTGCTGGCGGCTGGGGTGCAGGCTGCACCCCGGTGCTCAGAGCTCGCTGCCTCCCTCTGCCTGCCTCCGAGGACAGACTGTCTCCCGCTGGCGGAGAGCTCTGAATGACGGACACCCCGGCCCTGCGAGCACGGAGCTCGGGGCCCCCAGAAGCAGGGTCCTGGGCGGCGTCACGAAGGCCCCACAGGTGCGACCCCGAGGGAGGGCCGCAGCGCAACGAGAGGCCCGGCCCGCGCCCGCTCACGGGGACAGCGCGTCCCGCACGGAGCCTCCTCACTTATTTACTTTCCCAAAGTTCCAAAAGGGCACCTGCAATCCGAGGCGCGGAACCAAATATTTACCCATCGATCCTGGGCCCTGGCAGGCGCAGCAGAGCACACAGCTCGGGCCCTGCTCAGACACGGCCTTTCCACTCGCCCAGTCACGGATTCACCCACTGGCTCATCCGCCAGATGGTCGCTGGGCCTCAACCACGTGTCAGACCCTGAGATCAGCCCTAGGGCCAGGAAGGGGGGTGAGCGGCCCAGGTAGTGGAGTGACAGGGCCTGGGTAGTGGGGTGACAGGGCCAGGTAGTGGGGTGACAGGGCCAGGTAGTGGGGTGACAGGGCCCAGGCAGTGGGTGAGCAGGGCCAGGTAGTGGGGTGACAGGGCCCTGTCTTCGAGATGCTCCGTGTAATGAGGCCCCAGGACTGTTTGATGCAGGGTGACAGTTTGCCTGGAAGAGAGGAGGCATGAAAGGGCCCCTGGCGGGATGCAGACCTCAGAGGCGGGAAGGAGCGGGAAGGACCGGTGTGGGTGACGGGGGGGATGGTGT